CCCCCCCCCCCCCACTGCTGCACAATGGGATGCTGCTTGAAACTGCATGCTTAGCAAAGTAGTCACCAACAGGAGCGATGAAGGAACACGCCATCTTTTCCTTTGTACAACATAAATGGAAGCGGACACCGTAGGTGACAAGAGATGCCCGCTGCACCGATTTTCAACGCTCAACTGCTCCAAGACGAAGAGGATGCACAGATGAAACGATTTGTTTTCGGAAAGTTCTCGACGAGTCGGGTCGAACGCCGCCATCTGCGGCATCGCCACTACTTCAGCTGTGGAGAAGCCGAGCTTGGAAGATCGATCTAGGGGGTGTGATATCTTGTGTTACCTGACGCTTCATGTTTCTCCTGTTGGTAGTATGCACGCTATTATAGTTTCAGTGTATAGGCTTAAACAGACTCGAAATAAGCCCAGCACCCAGCCGGTTTCCCTCCACTCACTGCAAAGACTCCAACACATCCCGTTCGACAGTGGTTATGTCTCGAACTAGCAGTCTGCGCGTTTGAACTCCCTACTTGCACCATATTGCTGTATAGCACAAGAAATACTCCGCACCACGCCTTGCGTATCTGCGGCTACAGCTATTCTCGCGCTGCGAACTCCCAACCGCTGCCATTCATTACCCCTCTTCGCAACACATGAGCACACCACTTACCCTGCACTTGCCCCTTGAGCGATGGGGCTGTCTGTTCGCACGATTGTTCCATGGTTTCCTGGAGAGACGCAATCAACCGGAGTATCCCGTGCTGGGACGCGTGCAGCCTGCGGTGCGCTAAGCTTCTTGCTTAGATCCCCACAATGTCGGTCGGCCCCTGACACCAAATCGTGAAAATATCAGCTGCTAATCACCTAGTGTTTTGCACTGGTCCAAGATCGTACAACCCTGGCTGCCCACACGCTCCCCGCTCATAGCCGTGGTGTTGGTATACGGTGTCATACCGCTGCGGGCATCAGGGGCCAGGGGGGCTGGGTGGGCGGAAAACAGAAAGGAATTCACGGACCCCCCCCAAGGCGAAGGCAAAGGCGAACTGTGGCTCGCCCGCACGCCATCTGTCAAGGAGAACAGCGTCACAGAGGGCCGGTGGACGCAGGAGAGCACCGCGGAAGGGGTCAGAGGCGCGTTGCAACGAGAAAGATGATTGGCGGAGTTATCCGGCGCTCGGTGCCGCGGGCCAGCGGTGTCACCGTGGACTGGTGGGTGGTCGCTCTGTTGTGCTGTATCGGAACTCTGAGGTCGAGAAGTGAGAGCGCTTCTCCTCCCTGCTTTGCTGATGCTGGTGCCGCCAGAGAGGGGGGGCTCTTAGGAGTCAAGGAAAGCGGTGCATTTGAAGGCAGTGTTGGGGGGGGGTGGTGCCGTCACCCTGGCCTTCCTTGGTGAATCGTGCTCATGGTTGCAACTCTGTTGTTGATGCGGCTTTCTTTGCCCAGCAAACCGCAAGGAGACTCTCTTGTCCCTGTTCCTCCAATGCCCACTGATGTAAGGGAAGAACACAAGTTTTTTCACTTAGAGAGTGCCGCGGGCGAGAGAGCAAGCACCCTGTGTGCCACTACACACGCGCGAGGGCGGCTGTTTTGCACCAGCAACCATGAAAAACCAACCACCTTGTGTGCTACTATCCTTTTTCCGGAACTGCGCAGCTGCTTTTGGCTCCGAACCTACCTTGAGTAAAGCGGCCTTGACCCGTGTGTGGGTTGGGCACGTACGACGTTTTCGCTTCGACCTGTAGTAGGTGACATAAGATGCCACACACCCCCTGGACTGATTTCCACGGCCCGGCTTCTCCACAACAGAAAAAAGTGTTGCAGTGTAGAAAACGGCGGCGTCGCAAACCGCCTTGCGGACAGCTTTCCGAAAACGCCATCCCGTGGAGTGCTCTCTGTAGTGGATTAATGACCTTTGGAAGGCGATCCAGTGTAGTATCGTGTTATGGTTACGGTAAATGTTTCCGACAGCGAGCACTTCCGCCATCAACAGCAACAGCAGTGCTGCTGTAACAGATGCATCATATCAAACCCGCCCTCTTATTTGCCCTCGAACGAGCTTTCACGCGGCGTTCCACAATCGCTATGTGCCATGCACAACGTTAGCAGATGATCCCCGTATCCGTTGTATGTAGTCAAGTGCATTTCGTCTGTAGAGTATTAAAGTGCAGGTTTGTGTAGACATGATTGCTCGCCGGATCGTTGCATCCGCGCTCGAAGTGGGAAGAAACGTCTCCGCCAAACGCGACTTTCCTAAATGTAGCAGCAGAGGTCTCTCTTTTAGGCCGTCATGGGCCCGGGGGAACAGCGGCCTTATCTGGCATCGGCAGTAGTCAGAGCCTTGTCGTTTTTTTTTTTTTTCCCATCATTGGACTCTGTCGTCTGCCCCACTGGCTCCTATCCTCCACTTCTACCAGCTAGACGACCCAACCGGGGTCACATACGAGGGGGGGGGTTGGACCCCCTAGTGGGGGCCCCGGTTTAGCGACCCCTACCGTAGGTGACACAAGATACCACACACTCCCTGGACCGACTTTCAAAGCTTCGGTACTCCACGGCGACGAAGATGAATAGATGAAACAGCAGTACGGTTTGGAAATGCTCTCGACGAGCCGCCTGCAACGGTCCCATTTTCGGCACCGCCACTCTTTGTTCTGTGGAGAAGTCGAGTTTTGGAAATTGGTCCTGGGGGCGTGGGTTCTAGTGTAACCTACGGTGTTGTACGTGTCACGACGAAATGTGGCCGCTTGTCAGCGCAGGTCGCTAAACCGAACTACCAATCATGTGGCAGTTGTACCACCGGGCTGCGGCGGTGCCACTTGATTTCGTGGTCGCTAGACAGGGCATGCCGCTAAACAGGATGTCGCTAAACCGAGACCCCCACTGCTATTTTATGAGTGAAACTATTTGAATATCCATTTAGCTTGTACCAAGCGATTTCATCGGCCTTAAACAAGGCAACCGGCGTTAAAGCATGCGGCCTTCAACAGGGGCCTCCACTGCACCTTCGTTTGGTGCATCCAAATATTGCCAACCTATGATACCGGGCGATACCGGGCATGTTTGAAAGGGTTGACTATTTGCCTTCGAAGCGTATCGGAACTGCCCTTGCTGCACGCACGCAGATGGTTTGATATATGATATATGTACTTCATTACACGACTCAAGATAACATACCCTCTGGACCGATTTTTACAGCTCCCTTTCTCAACAGCAGAGAGGGTCGCAGCGCCAACAACGGCGACGTTGAAGCCGTCATGTCGATTAAAAGCTTTCCGAAAATGGATCGTCGTGTTTGTTCATCTCCTTCGTCGTGGCGTAATCGAGCTTTGAACATCGGTCCAAGGGAGTGTGTTATCCTTTGTCGTGTACGGCAGGTTTGTTCTTGCTGCCTAAGCACATTTACCGTCGGTGACATGACGTAAGACCTCACACCCCCCGGACCAATGTTCGAAGGTCGATACATCGGCAGGAAAAGCAGTGACGGTGCTGACAAATGACGGCGTTGGAACAGCAGTCTCGTCGAGAGCTTACCGACAATGTACCGTTCGATGAATACCGCAGGTGGCATGACGTAAGATATCACACCCCCTGGACCAATGTTCAAAGCTCGATATATCGGCAGGCAAGAACAGTGGCGGTGCCGAAAATCGCGGCATCCGTACCGTCTCGTCGAGAGCTTTTTCCGGAAACATATGCCTTGATTTTTTCAGCACCCTCTTCGTCGTCGAGTGCAGAAGCTTTGAAAATGGTTCCAGGGGGTGTGCTATCTTACGTAACCTACGGCACTGCACGTGCTGTGAAACCAGCGGGATGCCTCAAGCGTGCTTATGTTCTACACGCGCAGACGTTGGGTTCGCCCTGATGTTGCTCTAAACCTGGCAAATACCGTGCGATGGAAAGTGACAGAGCTGCTTCTTCAAGCCCGTTTCGCAGCTCTCAGCACCAAACTTGCACGCTGCTGTACGCCTGCGGAGAAGTTGACGAACTCGCCCCGAGACTTTCCCAGATGTGGATAGGCATAGCCATAGGTAACATTGAGGGGTTGGCGCAATTTTGGATCGCCACGATGTACGAGGGTCGTTCCAGTGAAGTACTCTATTGCCTGTACCGTAAGCAGCACAAGGTAACCCACCCCCTGGACCGATTTTCAAAGCTCGGTTTCTCAGCGGAAGAAAGAGCCACAGCGCCGAAAACGGCGGTGTTGAAGTCGTCTTGTCGAGAGCGTTCCGAAATATATATCGTTCTGCCAATCCATTTTGTTCGTCGTGGCGTAATCGATTTATCCCGCAAATATTTCGTTCTCCTTATTCATGTTTTCGTCGTGGCGTAATCGATTTGTCCCGCAAAATATCGTTCTGCCAATTCATTTCCTTCGTCGTGGCGTAATCCATTTATCCCGCAAAAATGTCGTTCTGCTTATTCATTTTGTTCGTCGTGGCGTAATCGATTTCTTCCGCAAATAGAACGATGGATATATTTGCGGGAGAATCGAGTAGGCCACGACGGAGGAAATGAATAAGCAGAACGGCATATTTTCGGAACGCTCCCGACAAGACGGCTTCAACGCCGGCCGTTTTCGACGCAGTGGCTCTTCTCTTTTGCTGAGAAACCGAGCTTTGAAAATCGGTCGAGGGAGGTGTTATCTTGTATCATATACGGTATATGGAGCAAACACGCCTATTGTACACGTCTACCTCCAATTTTGTTGTGGTTCTCCCAGAAGATCCTGTCAAACGTTAATTTCAGCACTCTACGCACCTTCAATCCCAGTCCATTTTTTTTTTAAGTGCAACGCTGTAGAGACTTACTTGCCTCGAGGTTGCTTTGAGAGTTGGCCATATTTTGGATCGCGAATGACGACGTCCCGTCCCCATGGTTGTCTTGTTGAAGTAATGTTCAAGAAAAATATTTTTTGTGAGAACTCAAAAGATCGGCCAGCTGAAAGTAGCCCCTCCCTCCCCCCGACAGCTTCCCCCCCCCGGTGTTTGCCATCGGGATTGGGTTTTCGTCGCTTGGCAACGACGTTGTAAAACAAGCCAATTCACTTCGTGAACTCGGCAACCAGG